GTAATGGATTCAGGGTGGCTTTTCTGGATGATGGTGGTAATCGTTGTTTTCTGAGTCCAGCCTAACGTACAGTCTTCTGGGTCTAGATATGAAAGCAGTTTGCCTTTCCCTTCTCAGAAACACCACAGTATGTTCTAAGTTGAGTGTATGGGTCCAGGGGACAGTCACTGTCTCACCTCTCCTCCTACAGCCAGACTCTGGGGTCAGTGAGTAAGTCCTCATGTTTTAGCTGTGGCCTTTGAAGTACTGAGTAGCTGCCCAATAGTTACTTCCGTAGAAATGAGTATTTTCCCTATCACGTGATTTCAGCATCAGCTGTGGGAAAACTGCGTGTATACCTTCATTTTCAAGCTTCAGATCTTGCTTGAAATATGAATTTTATTTTCTCATGCAATTCGGAAAGACGTGTTTCCTCATGTGCCTCCGAATGATTTGGGCTTTTAAAAATGCCATTTGGAAGTGGCAGCTTCATTAAATAGTTATGAAATGTCACTATGGGCCCTGTTGGGCTAATAGAAAGGAAGCAGGATATTACAAAAAGAGCAAGACGTATTTCTTGGAGTAATTAGTAGCTTTCATTCCTTTTACATGCTCTTCACAGCAGTAGCAGCCCATGTGAAGGTAGGTAAGGTAGTTGTTAATCCCATTTTCCAGAGGAATCTGAGCTTGAAGAGGTTAAAGGATTTTGTCAAGAAGAGACGTAGCTGAGTTGGGTCTCAACTGCAGGCTCCCAGCCTAACACAGCTGGTGCTCTTTCTACCACATCGTGCACACAAGACAGTGAATTGATATTTTGTGGCACAGATAACAGTGACGTAGGAATTCAGAGAGGGGGGGAAAGATTGTGAAGGAGTGGCCAGGAAAGGCTTTGCAGAGAAGGACCTTAAAGGCTAAGGGAAGAATCTGGAACTTGTTGAAGAGGATTCGAAGGAGCATTCCAAACTGGGGGGAATCACAGGAACTGTCTTAAGGAGTGAACAGTTTTTTGTCCTAGTCAATTAATGGAAGCTATTGGTTTATCTTGCTGTCTCTTAAGAGTTCTACTGGCTATCTCAGACTGCCTGACGGGCTTGCTTTTGCAAGATCAGTGTTCCTTCATTTGGATAGAAGCTTGCAATGCCAGAGAGAGAGAGAGAGAGTGTGTGTGTGTGTGTGTGTGCGCGCGCATGCACGTGTGTGTCTCATGGCCCTATATGGTCTCCTACCATCTGATATTTTTCTATTTTGAAGATGATTGTGTCTGAAGAGGAGATTATCTGACTTTCCTCATCAAAGAGAAGTGAAATAGTACCTTGGCCTTGGTCTGTTCTTTGTGGTTCTGAGGGGCTTTCCCCTCCTGGTGGACTTCCTGCATCAGGCAAGGGGAGAAATGAAGAACCTGTGTGAAAAGCCCATGTTCATTTCCTTGGGCCTGAACATTCAATCGAGGATTTTTCTTTAGAGTTCTCATAACCACTTCAAGCTGTTGAGCGTTCCCTCGGCTCTTACCCTAATTCTGCTGAGGAATATTTGGAGAGAGGTTTGGGGTCTGATGCCAAGAGATTTCCTTTCGTACAGGACCTTCTGCCAGGACTCCCATTTGGTGAGTTTCTTCTTGTCACTCTAGGTAGTAGTAGTGATGATTGAAGCCCCTCTGTAGTGGTTTTTAAGTGGCCAGAGACTCACTTTGGTTTCATATTTCTTTCTGGAGGATGCCCATCTTATTCTCCTTGACCATTCAAGTTGTTTGAAAGCAATTTTCAGTATCAGTGGCATTTTCAGTAGTTTTACTTTCCATTAAACCATCTACATGTTGCTAGTTATAAGGGACATTCCCTTAGATATTGAGTAGATATTGATTGAGCCCTGGGCCCTGGGAAGGTAAGATACATGGATGCTTAAAGATTGTAGCCCTTCCATGGTCACTCATAGCCCCCTGGGACAGTCTAGACAGACACTTGACCACAAGGGAATATGTCGGGAAGGTGCACAGCACTGTAGATGCTCAGAAGAGACAATGCCCAGCTGTTTTGCAAGGTCTGGAATAGCTTTTAAGCTTTACTGCCATTTGGTTGATTGTTATTTGGTCTGGGAAGTTGGAAGTTGGACACACTGTCCATTTTCATTCCAGAGTCAGATTTGGGGGTTCAGTAGGGACAAGTTTGGACTTTGAAATCAGAAGACCTGAGTTCAGGTCCTGTTTGTGCCAGTACCTCCCAGTGTGTCCATAGGGAGTTCATAGTTACTAGGGAGGAAAAGGGATGGAGAGCAGGACAGCCTTGATGAAGTCAGTTTAACAAATCCTGGTAGAGTTTCTTTACTGGAGGATTTCCAGGAGCTTCTAACATACTAATGTGTACTGCTGGCCCTAGGAAGGATTATGGTATGCAGTTCCTAGGCTCATTTGATTTTTTTTTTTTAAAGCATGGAGCCCTTTATCAGATTATTATTCCGCAAAGCATACTTAGGAAACACTGTCGTCACTGATTTCTATCTCTTAAACCTGCGAACTTGTGCAGGTTTTTTTGCAGCTAGCACAACATTATTTTATTTTATTTTGTTTTTAACTTTTGGGGCACGCCCTGAGGCCTGTGGGATCTTAGTGCCCCGACCAGGGATCAGACCCGCGCCCCCTGCATTAGAAGTGCAGAGTCTTAACCACCAGACTGCCAGGGAAGTCCCAACACAACATTCTTTTGAGATTAAAAAAAAAGTTAGCCCACTATTGGGGAGTGTCTTTTCATCATGAGCTATAGCGGACAGTTAACTATTGGATATGATAGAAAATTTGAGAAAGGAAAAAAGACCCTACCTTTTCTACTGAGGCATAATTGACAAATAACCTTAGTTTTATATTCTACAATAATTTGATATGTGTGTACCCTACAAAGTGGTCACCACAATAAGTCTAGTTTCCATCGGGCACCATATAATTGACTCCTCTTTCACCGATTTCACTCACCTCCAACCCTCCTCTCGTCTGGTAACCACCAATGTCTTCTCTGTATCTGTAAGTTTTGTTTTGTTTTGTTGTGGTTTTTTTTTTTTTTTTTTGGATTCCACATATAAGTGGTATCATATGACTTATTTCACTTAGCATAATACCCTCTAGATCCATCCATGTTGTCAAAAATGGCAGGTGTACACTTGGTGGGAATGTAAATTGATGCAGCCACTATGGAAAACAGTATAAGGGTTCTCAAAAAAATTGAAAGAGAACTACCATGTGATCCAGCTATTCCACTTCTGGGTATTTATCTGAAGAACAGGAAAACACTAATTCAAAGAGGATATATACCCCTTTGTTCATTGCAGCATTATTTACAGTACCCAAGATATGGAAATAACCTGTGTGCATCCATGGATGAATGGCTAAAGAAGATGTAGTGTATATATTTACAATGGAATGCTACTCAGCCATAGAAAACAAAAACAGAAACAAAAAAGCAGACCCTTTTTAGTGCTACGTTGTGTATCATCGACTTTCGCATGTGGTGTTTAAAGTACTGACAACACCCCTGTGAAGGAGATATTTGATTATGTCCATTTTAGAGATTAATAAGCTGAAGTTCAAGTAGTAGGTTATACACGGAGATGCTGAAAGTCAAACTATGGTCTGTCTTTTGCCAAAGGCCATGTTTCATTAACCATGATGCTTTGTTAGAGAGCTAGGTCTTTTATTTTTAACTTTTCTTTTTTTTAAAATTTTAAATGATTATTACAAAATTAATACATGCTTATTAAAGAAAAGTAGGTGGGAGAGAAGTAGAAAATGTCCCCAGGCCCATCATCAAGTAGAACTTCAGTCAGTATGTGATATATTTCTTTCCCATTATTTTATGCAATGTTATGTTCATTAACCATAATTGTGGTTAAATATATGTATATATAATATATACATTTTTATACATATATTTATACATAAATAAATTTATAAACCTTCGAATTCTGCTTTTGACTCTCCCCTCCAGATGTGCGTTTTGGTTACTGCCACATCACTGGTTAAGTATTTTAATAAATAAATATAGTAAACCAGGACTTGGAAACTTGTAGCTCTTTTATGCAAGCTGCCACTTGACCACGGGCAGGTTCCTTGACCTTCTGGTACTCAGTTTCCTCGCGCATAAGTGAGGGAGTTGGTTCAGAGCACTGATTTTGAAACTATGGTATCCCACGAAACCTCCTGGAGGCTGGGAGTAAAGATATCATCAGAGCAAGGAGGACCCTGGCCCTTCATTCCATCTGTTTCAACCTAAGCATCTACATTTATAACTCTCTTATAGATTTGGGGTTCAAGCACATTTGGAAAAAGGAACTCATTGATTTTTTATAGAACAGTATAAAATTGTTGGACCAGATGATCCTGAAGCTCAACATTTCTGTGATTCTCTTTTATGATATCTATTAAGTTGTGTGCGTTCTTAATGTTTTAAAACACTTCTTCACCAGATAGAGTGGTAGAGTAAGCAGAGTTGATACATTCTTTAAGATGATCTCAGGAACCATGTAATAAGCACAAAAAGAATCACTGATCAGGGCTTCCCTGGTGGCGCAGTGGTTGAGAGTCCACCTGCCGATGCAGGAGACACGGGTTCGTGCCCCAGTCCAGGAAGATCCCACATGCCGCGGAGCGGCTGGGCCCGTGAGCCGTGGCGACTGAGCCTGCGTGTCCGGTGCCTGTGCTCCTCAACGGGAGAGGCCACAACAGTGAGAGACCCGTGTACCACAAAAAAAAAAAAAAGAATCACTGATCAGTACTGAGCAATGTCTAAAGCACTGTCGAATTATTTCTTAGCAAATCTACCACTGCCTTTGACTTGATCCATCTCAGGTCCAATTTAATGCTCTTTTAGGGAAGACTAACCAGGGAATCAGTGGTGCCTTGAACTAATACATGTTTGAAAACTATGGACTTTACCAGTACCTGATTTTCCATTTTCCTTATGCATGTTCAAGTTTTGCATTTTGAGGGGATTGATTTTCGAGTCCCAGTGTCTTGACTTTTTCTCTTGCCTCCACAGAAGGAAGAATCTTGTTCAAAAATGAGGTGAATTAATGCTCAAGCACTCAAGAACCCCGGACAGCTACATGAAGTGTTTAAAAACTGCCCTGACCATCTCGCCACACAAGTCTGTCATGAGGCCTGACAGGATGAGTGCACCACAGAGGCACAGTGTCCTGCCCTGCAGGAACGGTGACTGCTGACCTGCCGGGAGCAAGCGGGGGGCCGCGTGTTGTCTGCCAGTACAATGAAGGAAGTGGTTTATTGGTCACCCAAGAAGGTGGCAGACTGGCTGCAGGAGAATGCTATGCCAGAATACTGTGAGCCTCTGGAACATTTTACAGGCCGCGACTTGATCAACCTAACCCAAGAGGATTTCACAAAACCCCCCCTGTGCCGAGTCTCCTCCGACAATGGGCAGCGGCTCTTGCACATGATAGAGACCCTGAAGATGGAGCACCACTTGGAAGCACACAAGAATGGCCACGCCAATGGGCACCTCTGCATTGGCACAGACGTCCTCGCCCCAGATGGCAGCTTCAGCATCAAGGTCAAACCCAAGGGGATGCCAAATGGGTATAGGAAGGAGATGATAAAGATCCCCATGCCAGAGCCAGAGCGCTCCCAGTACCCCATGGAGTGGGGCAAGACTTTCCTGGCCTTTCTTTATGCACTTTCCTGCTTTGTTCTCACCACAGTGATGATCTCGGTCGTCCATGAACGAGTACCTCCTAAGGAGGTGCAGCCTCCACTACCGGACACGTTTTTTGACCATTTTAACCGGGTGCAGTGGGCCTTTTCTATTTGTGAAATTAATGGCATGATCCTTGTAGGACTCTGGTTAATTCAGTGGCTGCTCTTAAAATACAAGTAAGTAAAGCAAAAGCTTGCAGATTCAGTGATTGGGGTTTCTCACTGCAGATGTTTGATATTCATTGTTGGGAAATGAAATTTATCAAGCAGTGGGAATCAAAGCACATTTCTCTTTATTTTGTTTGTTTTTAAACCACATATTCTGTTGAACCAACTAAAGCTCTGGCCACTTTAAGAAAGTTCTGTGCTTGTTGCCTGTTTTGTACAAGATTCATACAGAATGATGAGTAGAATTGTTAGAGGTGAGGTTTTTCTATTTTCACTTCACAGGAAAGAAAACCCTCAGACATCTTCAGAGAGTACAGGCTATTGAACCACAGAAAAACTACCCAGCCTTGGTGTTTTTAACCCATCACATCAGTTGTCGACAGTTGGCCTATGGGCCATGAGTGGCTGTGTAGCTTTTCCCACACAGAGTCAGATATCTAGAACTTAGCAATATGTATTTAAAGATGTTTCACACAAAGAATTTAGAACAGCTAGTCCAGAGTGGCTTGGACTATTGGGAGAATGATACCCACAGGGAATGACTTTAGGTGGGATGTGGATGAACCTACATGGCTTTCCACCTTCTATAGAATGTGTGGCATTTAAAGCAGTATTCCATTCAAATTTCTCAGGGTTTTTATTTTTTTATATTTTATTTTTTTGCGGTACGTGGGCCTCTCACTGCTGTGGCCTCTCCTGTTGCAGAGCACAGGCTCCAGACCCGCAGGCTCAGCGGCCGTGGCTCACGGGCCCAGCCGCTCCGCGGCATGTGGGATCTTCCCGGACCGGGGCATGAACCCGTGTCCCCTGCATTGGCAGGGGGACTCTCAACCACTGCGCCACCAGGGAAGCCCTCTCAGGGTTTTTAAATAGGTATCTCCTTTCAATTTCAGGTGGATCCAAAGTGGCTTTCATGTCCCAAGTTCTAAACTCAATGCAGACAAGCTGTTTGCTTGGGTTGCCTGTAGCAAACTAAACACCTACATTGTCCTCATCTTTGGTGTCTGATTTTTTCCATTAGCGGAACATCTTTATGGCTTCCATGCATGGGAGTTGGAAACTGGTTTGCTAAGGATCTGAGTTTCTCTCTGGTGGACTGTGTTTCATGACCCACAGTATGGTTGAATATTAAGGAGATCATCTTAAATCAAGAAAAAATGCAGACTGAGAATTTATGTTGAACTTTAACGGAAATGATGAGTTTTTTCCTGGTACGTTTCATAAGGTCTGTGTTTTTTTACCTTAAAATTATGTATCTACAAGTGGAAATAAAAGCAATTCCTGACTCTGTGCCAGGAAAGGGCTATCTTAACCTTGTATAAAGGAAGTAATTTAAGTGGCCAGTTTTTTGGGGGGGCTGGTTTGGCAATCCTGGAGTTTAAGCTAAATTTGAAATAGGAGCAATTGTCTGGGATGCATTTGATTTGGTGGAAGACTGTTTTTTGTTTGCTTTAGTTTTAAGAGGCTAAATAGATAAGAATAGGCCTTAGAAATATGAGATGCTCACAATTTATTAATTACATTCTTCCGGCTGTCAAACTTCAGTTCTGCTTTTGACTTTCAAGCTTTTTTCCCTAGAAGCTCGTTAGAAAACAATGCCCCGTACGTTTTGCTGCTTCAGAGGCAAGGTCAACTCAAATTAGGTTTCCTGGGGTCTTCCTGATTTTTGTTGTTTTGTTTATATGAGTTTGTTTTCTGGTTTTTATCAAAATTCTTACATGCAAGCTAATAATTTACTGCCCCAGAATATATCATTATGTACTTGTACATAACATGTGCAAGTTCAAATCTTTCACAGAACTGTGACTTTTGAATAATTTTATTCTTGTTCTAAGAAGTGTCCTAACCATAGGGATAATTTCTTTAAAGTATATTACTATTTATATTTCTCTCAGCAGGGACTTTTCCTCAAATCTGTTTCTCTTTAAGCTTTCTAATTTCATGTTTTACCGGTATTTATTGCTAATACTGTAGTCATTTGTATATTTAAATTGTTCTACAGCCATAAATCAGTTGACTCACACCTTGGGCAAAATTAACCCAGGGCTAGGACACAGGCAGCCTGGGCTCCAGCCCCAGCCATGCCCTCACATGGTGGGTGGTGTGGATGAATCTCCAAATCTCAGGAGCCTTGTTTTTCTCACAGATAAATAAAGACCTCTCAGTCTAGATGATTTCTATTGTTCTATACAACTGTGTTTTATTTGATTCTAACATTATTGAATGGGCCAGTTATGTCTGAGTATTATTAACTGCAGAGCATTTTTCGTCCAGAGTGCATCCAACTAAGGATTCTTTAAGGTCCTCTCTCTGGTTTCCACGTCAGCAGGATAACTCAACTGTTGTCATGATAATCCTAAGCATCCCCACCCTTGTCCTGCTACTGGGACACATCTGTGGCTTCCCATCTCCATCCTTGAGACCTGTCTTCAGTGTGTGTGGCACACCAGACATGGAAGAGGTAGGAAGAAAGATAGAGCTTGACACACCAAGCAGTGGGTATTAATGCGCTCCCTTTCCCTGGCCTTCATAACGAAGATTAAACTGTTTCATACAGTCAGAGATCCCTTGTTTCTAGTTATTTGGCTATGGCAGTGTAACAGTTTTATTATTAGGTATGTTGGGAAAATGGATCCTTCTGGTTATGGAATATTCTGTTTAAAAGTGATAACCTCTCATTTTGTGCTTGACTCTTCTGACACTTGACCCCTCTCCCCAGCCTCCACCAGGAAGTTTGCTACTTAGGAGTATGTCCAGACCTCCTAGGAATTAAACCTGCCTGATCAGTAATTTCCAAAGGGACATTTTAATTTTACTTTGACTTTTAAGAGTCTTGGAGCCTTAAAAAATCAGCCTATTCCTTCTTGCTTCTTTATCTTCTACTTTTTAGAGAAGAATCAGGGGCTGAAACTGTAGAGGATGACTTATTGAGAAATGATATGCCGGAATTTGAGCAACATCTCCTGACAGCAAACCCTTCAGCCAGATGTTCAAGGTGCTAGAAAACATTGGTGCCCGAATTTATGACATTGTGACATTTGGTTCTATCCTTATGCTGTATACAGTTGTCCTTTACTGTTAAACATAAGTTCTGTTTTTTGTACTTAAATTTTTTTTGCGTCCTTTCATTCTTAACATCTCCCCCTCATGTCTATATGTACATATGCTGATATATACATAGGTCCGCATGGGGCTTCCATAACGTTGTGAAGTTGGAAAGCAACAACAATGCCTGTCCTTGACAACTTTTTGATTTTTAAAATTGTAAATAATGTTGTCTCCCCATTTAGAATTGGACTTTCAAGCCACTGACTAGGAAAAATTCCTGGGAAATCTCTGCATTTGTGTCAGACTTCACTGCAAAACAGGTATCCCTTGTTTTAAGAAAGTGTGATTAAAGAATATGTTAAAGGGACAGATTTGGTAGGGACTTTCCATGCATGGCTATATCGTAGCTGACACGATGGCACCCAAATGTGATACAGGTGGCTCAGCGCTATTAGGACGTTGTAAACGCCCACCAAGAAGGCGGCCAAGGAGCAGGCTGGCAGAATTTCCAAGCCAAGAATTTTCTAGCCACTTGAGAAGGCATTATGACTTAGTATGGTGGTCATAGGTACCTCAAACTCAACTTTTCTAAAACCAGATTTGTCATTTTTTTCTTTCAACTTCTTTTTCCTCCTATGTGGGCAGTGACATTTCCTAGAAACCTAGAACTTCTCGGTTCCTTTCATATAAATAGTCACTAAGTTCTGTCCATTCTAATTTCAGATTCATTACCTCTTTCCATTCCTACTTAGTGATGAACAGCGGGTGCTCATATGGAGGCCCAGTTCCTTAGCCTGAAGCCTAGGGTCCTTCATAATCTGACCCCAGGCTGTTCGACCTCATCTCCAGCTACTCTACTCCACGGTTTTCCTTGAACACTTCAAGCTCATATCACAGTCCATTCTATTCATTGTGTGTGTATCTCCTTCATTGCTAGACTTTTAAGTTCCCCAAGGGAAAAGACCAGATCTTTTTTGTCATTCATCTTTATATCACACTGCCTGATACAGAGTCTGGCACATAGAAAGTGCTCATTTAAAATTCATTCATTCATTCAACTTGTATTCACTGAGAACCTACTGTGTGCCAGGCACTGTGGTAGACCCTGAGGGTGCTGCAGTGAGCAGAGGCCCCTGATGTTCTCACATCAGCTTGTATTCTGACCAGGGTGTAACAGTCGTGAACAAATGAATATATAATACCAGGCAGTGATAAGAGAAATGGAGGAAAATAAAGCAGTCTAAAGGGTTAGAAAGTGTTGGGGATAGTGGGGGGGAGGTGGTATTTTAGACTGGGTGATCAGAAAAGTCCTCTAATGAGGTGACAGTTGAGCAGACACCCGAATCAAATGGGGGTGTACCAAGTAGGTGTTTGGGGCAGGAGCAGTCAAGACAGGAGGCACAGCAAGTACAGAGTCTCTGAGGTTTACCTGGGGAATAGCCACGGGCCTGTGTGGCCAAACGAGCTGGGAGGAAGCAGTGACACGGGGTCAGGGAGGTATGGATGGCATCGTGGGCTGTGGAAAAAGAGGCAGGATTTTTGTTCCAAGTGTGATGATGTCATTAGGGGAGAATGATGTCAACAGATTGGTATTTTAAAAGAAGCCCTCTGGCTGCCGTTTAGAGAATAGGGAAGCAAGAGTGGAAGGCGGGGGATGGGTGTTAGGATGCCATTACAAATGGTCCAGTTGGAAGATGACCGCGACTTAGACTCACGTTTGGCCAATGAATACATTTTGTGCTGGGCTGTGGGGAAGGGATAAACTTCCTAGAAGCTATGGCTTCTGTTACATTTAGAACTCCTTAATCTTTTATAGCCACAGGGCTGACTTCTGTTACAGTATCTCATACAGGGTTTTGGGGTCCCTCTGTGAATCTCTGAATTTTATTTGAAATTTAATGAGGAATGAACCATAGATTGAGATAGAATTCACTAATTTGAGAGTTCTCTCAACGTTGCTT